ACTGCCTGCAGTGTGTAATGGAGTGTTCTTCCTTAGAACTGGAATAGTTCCCCCACAGCTCCTCAGTAAGAGTGATACTTTCAGTGCAGGTTTGAGTGTAGATGGTAGCTAATGTTTAATGATTTATGTTCTTAGTATGTATATTTTGATAGCCACTTCAGACCTTATTCGTTTTCTTCCAAAAATGAAGGTGGCCTAGTATGGAGTTGCATCGGACGGTAAAGTAGAACTAAGCCCCCCAAAAAATTCAAATGTAATATGCTACAGGTTATCAGTCCTTAGGTGGCTGCTTTAGTTTTAATTTTGTATGCGAACAGGAATTTTTGGAAGTATAAAAAAATACTTGTTAATTTTTCCAGAAATACATTGACCTTGTTAAGTCCTGTGACTTGAAGCAAAAACAAGCTTATCTTTCTTGTGTAAACTACTAATCCCATAACGCTGGCAATGGAGATAAAAAAAGGGTGACATGTTTTAATTGCAAAATGGGTGACAACTGTGGCTCCCTACATAGATGCAGTGGAGATGGAAGAGTGGCCATCCAGGGACAGGAAGTGTTAATTTGCTGGATTACCAGGTAAAAATAAGGGGGGGGGGGGGGGGGTAGGAGTATGAAAGAAGAAATTTAAGGCAGGCACCTTATCTAAAGACTGGTAAACTATAATATATTAACCACCTCCCCCATCCGGCTGTTGTATATAAACGGCCGGACGGTGGCAGTGCAGGGGCGGGTGGCCATTTATAAATGGCCTCCCCACCCCCTGCTTGTGTGCGCTCCCTGGGAGCACGCAGCACCGCGATCCGGTGCCCGCTGTGTCCTCCGGACACAGTGGAAAACCGATTGTCGTACGGGATCTCTGTGCAAGTTCCCGATCATGTGATCACTGATTGGCCAATCAGTGATCACATGCAGAGTAGTAAGCAAGATGTCACTTCTGACATCATTGCTTACTACGTGTGAAATCTGTGAATGATCACAGAGGTCACATGGTACAAGGCTATTCAAAACAATCTTGTACCATGTGACAAGCTGTGACCAATCACAGCTCACACAGTATTTCTCAATGGCTGCAAGAATGCAGCCAGAGAGAAGGAGAAATTATTGCTTTTACAGCCTCTATGGGTCTAAAAGCAATCAGTTTAAAAAAAAATCTTCATCACCCCCCACAAGTAGTACAGTGTCACCATGGGGACACTGTACTGCTAGGGTGACAGTATGTAAAAAAAAAACAAAAAAAAAAATATAAATAATAATATTAAAAAAAATGTAAAAATTATAATTTTGGTTATAAACTAATTTGGTTATTTTTATTTTACTAAAAGATAGCTGAGTAAATTTTGGCCAAGATCTATGAAGAAAGATTATTTATTTGCAAAATTTTATAAGAAAAACACTTTTTTTCAATATTTTTGGACTTTTTCATTTATATAGCAAAAAAAAATAAAAATCTCAGTGGTGAATAAATACCACCAAAATTAAGCTTTATCTGTCTAAAAAAAAAAAAAAGCTAAAAAAAAATCATATGGGTACAGTCTTGCATGACCACGTAATTTTCATTCAAAGTGCGACAGCGCCAAAAGCTGAAAATTGGCCTGGACAGGAAGGTGGTAAAAGTGTCTGGACTTGAAGTGGTTAAAGTATAACTTAGGGCTCTTGTAGTGCCAAATCCAGGTACTATTGATGTACAAGCCTCATAAAGTAAACAAAAAAGAAAAACTTCTTTTACATTTCTTTACTGCAACTCACAGTGGTAGGGTTTTAGTAACAGAGGTGGTGATACTAATCTAGGAAGCCGTGTGCAGGACAAGGTTTGGCCAGGCGCTTACTAACAAACTGCAGGCTTATGAATCAGCAGTGACAATGCTGATACCGACATTCCCTGCAGACCAAAGACCTGAAATTCCGAAAGGCAATCCACCCAAGAAAAAAATGTGCGGTCTGTGGACCTACTGTACAAAATAAATGGCAACCGCCCCAACCTATAAACAGCCTTAGCAGCAAGGTGCACATGGAAGGGCAATGCACATCACAAACAAAGGATTTCCCAGCACACTTACCAGCCAGCCTGCAAAACAGCCAATTTGGCCCTGCCTAACAGTTTGCATTAAAATGTCAAGGGTCCTCTGTATACTGTGGACCTAACTCTAAAATTTCCAGATCCTCCATAGTGGGAGCACATATGTCAATGGATAGGTTATGGGTAGTTGTGCCTGGAATAGATCATCCCTCCTTAAAGGTACAGGGGCGTGTACCCCAGCTATAGCAAAATCACAGCAAAAGCATCCAGTGCGTCCCTGCATCCAATTCAGCCAACTGTACAAAAAAAGGAAACCGTCCCAACCTATAACCAGTCTTAGCAGCAAGGTGCATATGGAAGGGCTAAGCACATCACAAACAATGGATTTACTAGCACACTTACCAGCCAGCCTGCAAAACAACCAATTTGGCCCTTCCTAACAGTTTGCATTAAAAACACAGACAGGGCCAAATTGGTTGTTTTGCATGCTGGCTGGTAAGTGTGCTGGGAAATAAATTAAGAATACATTAAGGGAAAAAGCCTTTTTTGACTTTAGAACCACTTTAAGTCTGGTTTGGTTATTGACCTCATTAATTTTTAAACTTATTTAAAGTATATTTAACAGACATCTTGCCCCATCCCTAGCTGCTCTATACTCACCTCTCCAGAGCTCTCCACCACTTCTTGTCTTTGGCAGCTGCCTCCAACATTGGAGCTCATAAGGAATATTTTGCTCAACCCCACCATCAGGTAAAACTGCATCATGAGAGGAGGCCACATGCTCCACCACACTCAGAAGCATCAGGCAATTTTGCAGTGGCGGCCAAAGAAAAGGGGGGTAGTTCTGGAGAGGTGAGAATAAAAGGGTCATGGGGTTGAATTTACACAAACCTTGTAATTTTGCCCTAAATGGGCAAATTTGAACAGATTTCAGATTTTGGATTTTTTTTTTACTTACATAAAACTGATCTGTCAGATTGAGAAGTGCTATATATGTATATTAAAAGAGATTTTATTTAAAAGTTTTTTATTATTGCAAGCTGTCACTGTTATCAAGTGACCTCTTACTATACTCATACATCCCTAGTACTTACTGTTGCACCTAAATGTTCTAGTTTCAGCATTCCCAGAATCCTCTTAAGGCTTGTTCACACCATGGTGGAGAGAAATTAGTTTTTCTGTTCTCACCACAGAAAATCTGAAAAATCTGCAACGTATATAAAACTCACTGAAACAGGCATTAAAACTGACGTAAACTCATGTCTCTGCAAGTGAAATCTGCATGTTTTTTGTATCAGTTTTTCTGCACATATGTTGTGAACAAGGCATAGTTCTACGCTACTCAAAAAAAATTAAAGGAATACTTTGAAAACACATCAGATCTCAATGGGGAAAAATATCATGCTTGATATCTGATATGGACTGGGTAATGTGTTAGGAACATAAGAATGACCCATTGTTTGATGGAAATGAAAATTATCAACCTATAGAGGACTGAATTCAGGCACCCCAAAAATCAAAGTGAAAAAATGATGCAGCAGGCTAGTCCATTTTGCTGAAATTTTATTGCAGCAACTCAAAATGGTACTCAGCAGTTTGTATGGCCCCCTCTTGCTTGTATGCATGCCTGACAATGTCGGACCATGCTCCTAATGAGATGACGGATGGTGTCCTGGGGTATTTCCTCCCAGATCTGGACCAGGGCATCACTGAGCTCCTAGACAGTCTGAGGTGCATATGAACCTACGCATGATATCCCAGCGGTGTTCTATTGGATTTAGGTCAGGCGAGCGCAGGGGCCATTCAATGGTATCAATTCCTTCATCCTCCAGGAACTGCTTACATACTCTCACCACATGAGACCGAGCATTGTTGTACACCAAGAGGAACCCAGGACCCACTGCACCAGCATAGGGTCTGACAATGGGTCCAAGGATTTCATCACGAAACCTAATGGCAGTCAGGGTGCCATTGTCTAGCCTGTAGAGGTCTGTGCGTCCCTCCATGGATATGCCTCCCCAGACCATTACTGACCCACCACCAAAACGGTCATGCTGAATGATGTTACAGGGAGCATAACGTTCTCCACGGCTTTTACTTCTGCCACATGTGCTCAGGGTGAATCTGCTCTCATCTGTGAAAAGCACAGGGCACCAGTGGTGGACCTGCCAATTCTGGTGTTCATTGGCAAATGCCAATTGAACTCTGTGGTGCCGGGCAGTGAGCACAGGGCCCACTAGAGGACGTTGGGCCCTCAGGCCATCCTCATGAAGTCTATTTACAATTGTTTGGTCAGAGACATTCACACCAGTGGCCTGCTAGAGGTCATTTTGTAGGGCTCTGGCAGTGCTCATCCTGTTCCTCCTTACACTGAGCAGATACCGGTCCTGCTGATTGGTTAAGGACCTTCTACAGCCCTGTCCAGCTCTCCTAGAGTAACTGCTTGTTTCCTGGGATCTCCTCCATGCTCTTGAGACTGTGTTCGGAGATGCAACAAACCTTCTGGCAATGGCATGTATTGATGTGCCATCCTGGAGAAGTTGAGCTGCCTGTGCAAGCTCTGTAGGCTCAGGGTATTGCCTCATGCTACTGACCCCAGCCAAATGCAAAACTAGTGAAAAACAGTCAGAAAAGAGGAGTAGGGAAACAAATGTCAGTGGCATCCACCTGTAAAACCATTTCTGTTTTGGGGGTCATCTCATTGTTGCCCATCTAGTGCACCTGTTGTTATTTTAATTAACAACAAAGCAGCTGAAACTGATTACCAACCCCCTCTGCTACTTAACTGACCAGATCAATATCCCCGGAGTTTAATTGACTTAATGCTATACTCTGATTAAAAAGTGTTCCTTTAATTTTTTTGAGCGGTGTACATACTTTCATACTGTGAGAGAGATATGGGTTTGTTCATACACTGTGGGTATTTGATTAGTGTTTTAGGGACATGTTGACTAAGCTTTCAATGTTTCATTGTGTTGGCAGATACACATTGGATGAATTTGGAACAGCGAGAAGGAGTGCCGTGGTGCGTGGGTTTATTGATGCACTCACCAGAGGTGGGCCTGGTGGAACCCCCAGACCTATTGAGATGCATTCTCATGATCCATTGAGGTATTTGAAGAATATCAACAAACACGTATATCTGCACTCAAATCATGATGTGACACATACTAACTTCGGAAAATCTCAGCACAAGCCCAGCTTCAGTTACGTTAAGATTTGCCCCTATTCTACAAACACACACGTTATCTATAGCACATGAAAGAGAGTGTTAAGGTGAGACAAGGAAAAAGATGAACAACTGGTTGATGGATAGGTGAGCAGAAGGTAGAGAATACCAGTGAACAGGCTCTAGGGAAAACATAGCAGAAGACAAGAAGCACTGCTGAGCAGGAGCAATGTACACGAGGAAGTAGTGAATAAGATCATATGAAAACATTGCACAAAAAAAATTGCATGTGTCAAAGACTGTTCTTTATGATGAAATAAAAAAAGCAGGATCTATGTCAGATTTTGTATGTTTGATGTAAAGAGGGTAACTTATTTTTCCTCTACTAAAAAGATACGTTGGCGATATGTTGGCCTGGCTTCACCAGGCTACTGCATCAGAGAAAGAGCACTTGGAATCTCTTCTGAAGCATGTCAACATCCAAGGTGAGGCTAAAAATATTTAAATACTTTTTCTGTAGTTTTGGATAAAGTGGGAAAGGGTTAGGCTGTCTGCTAGGTCATTGTTGCTGTCTGTGTTCCCTATTGAGAGATTTACTCTCATCTGTTGTCCTGGAGATTGTTGCCCCTGGGACAGAAAGCAAAGGAATGTCTGGGACAGAAAGTGAAGGGAACACTTAGGGGGTACAATATCCCTTTTCACTGGGTTATTATCAGTGGCCGTCATAGCATGGGTGACATTAAAGACAGATATGTTACTCAGCTTGTGTAGGTTTTAGGTTTGACTCCACAAGCCCCAACACTGTGCCAATGTATGGGGCTCACCATAGTGATTTTGAGTTAGGCCATTTAAGGACGTTACCCTTCCAGCTTGAAGCATAAGTCTGCAAGTATCTTTAGTCTTCTCCTGTACTGCCGTATGCAGCAATATCCTTCTGCCTTCGTGTATGTTTATCACCCCTTACTGCCACTCATCTGTCTCTTTGTACTTGCTACTTCTGCAAATTTAATGAGCTTTCCTCTGAACCTCTGTATTATTTACATTTTCCCTGTAATGGTATTGCATACTGGGCACACAAAAAGCAGTATGCGGTGGCCATGTTGTTCAAGTCCCAGTTCACCCTGGCCATTTTTTCAGAATAAAAGACATAGCTGCAGTGACCTTACCCCCCCCCCCCCCCTTCCCTCTTCAGTGTATACAAGCAACATTTTTATCAGTGCTTTGATGAGAGTAGCAGTGTCTACCCTTAATACCCATTTCAGATTAAGTGTCCTCCTAAAACTGTCAAATTTGCAAGCTTGATCTATAAGGAAAGCAACCAGATATCCTGCCAGATTACCCCTCATTGTAAGTACCTTAGCTAGAGTCATTAATAATACACATTGCTGTCTCTCTTCCCTGGTAGAATCAAGAACTTGTGTATTTCAAAACTTCTGAAATAATAACAGTACAGCCAGAATAAGAACATATGTACTTCTATCAGTTAATTAGAAGCATTTTGAGTCCAAACATCTCTACTCTAGGAGTACTGGGAGCAGAACTGGCCCCATTCCTTCCCTAGGTGAACTGAACATCTGAAGCCTATAATATTTATTTCCCTTTAAAAGGTAGTTTCATGCTATGCTAGATAATAAATTGCAAGTTAGACTGTAACATGTAGGTATTCCTATAGAGAACTGGATCTGTTGCATGATCATAAACACAGAGACATCACATGGCCACTCCTCAGCCTCTTAAAAAGGGGCTGCCTTGCAGTTGACAGCTCTTCTGTACCATCAAAATAAGAAAGACCTGTCATGTCTTATGAGAGCCACTGTACCATCTTGCTCATTGATTGGAGTCTGTTGAACAGGACTTGATAAGTATTTTCATTTTTCAACCCTTTTGTTTTGCTGTTGCAATGTTGTCTCTTTATTACTTTTATATGCCTTTCTTCTGTAAATATATCATATGCACCATTTGTTACCTTTTCATTATCAAACAATATTTTGAAAAGTGTTAAAATTATTTTTAATGCGCTAATGCAACATGTAGCCACTTGACCTCCGAAAGATTTTACCCCCCTGCATGACCAAGCCATTTTTTGCTATACCGCACTGCACTACTTTAACTGACAATTGCACAGTCATGCAACACAGTGCACAAATTCAATTTATATTTTTTTTTCACACAAATAGAACTTTTTTTGGTGGTATTTGATCACCACTGTGGTTTTTTTATTTTTTAATGTTATAAATAAATTACCATTTTGAAAAAAATATATATTTTTTTTTACTTTTTGTTATAAAACATATCCAATAAAAAAATAAAAAAGCATTTCTTCATAAATGTATTCTGCTACATGTCTTTGGTGAAAAAAAAAATCCCAATAAGTGAATATTAACTGGTTTGTGATAAAGTTATAGCGTCTACAAATGCCAGTAAATATACTGGAATTTTCTTCTTTTTTTCTTTTTATACTAGTAATAGCGACATTAGTGACTTATAGCGGGACTGTATTAGTGTGAAATGCAGTCTAAAGCTGACACTTTGTGGACACTGACTAAATGACACTGACATCACCAGTGACACTAATACAGTGACCAGTGCTAATATGCAGTGCCACTGTACTAATGACACTGGATAGGAAGGGGCTAACATCTGGGGCAATCAAAGGGTTAACTGTGTGCCTAGCCAGTGTTAATATGTTAACTGTGTGCTGTTTTTACATGTGATGGCTTTGATTTCCTGCTTTGGAGAGAGACAAAAACCATCTCATCCCTGCTGTAAGTAGAGAGATCTGTGTTGGTAAGCAATCACAGACACAGATCTCTCTCCTGTCTTCCACTCTGATATTTGGCGGGGTCCTGCCATAAATCATAGGAGGGGACCTGCTGATTGGCATCTAAGAGAGCCAGTGAGAGTGCAGCCAGGTGGACAGCCACGTGTGTGCCCCCTACCCAGAAATGATCCATCATGTATATTTACATAATTCTGTGCAGTTGGCCAGCACCTTGGCAGTAAAACTACAGTGCACGGTTGGCAAGCAGTTTAAGAATCTGTCTTTTGAAAAAAGCTACTACATGGTAAATCTCTGAATATACAGTACATGTCTGTGCTGAGAGTGTGTGTACAGATGTTTATTTACAGTCATATTTGTCATTGCTTGTGACGGTTTGATAGGTCCAAAGCCATCAGTGGCAGTTTGGTGCTTAAAGGGTTAATTGCTTAGTTAACTAAACCCAGTGACAACTGCTCTGTCTGTTGGCAAGCTGGAAATCTTTGTGCAGGGTGAGGCTGAGAGTGTCATTGTTGCGTATCAGTGACAGCATGGTGTTCGTTTGGCCAGTCATTCGTCACAAGTTGGTGAAGGTGACAGTGGTCTGACCTGCATTCGTCACATTCCCCTCACCCTTTACTGTGCCCTGTACACTGTTCAAATTGCCCCCCCTACATAATATCCGAAACTTGTTTTCAATGCCTTCCACTTTGTGCTCCTGCTCTCAGAGAAAAGATTTCAAACGGGGAATTTAGTAGAAGACTGGAGTATAAATCACCGGTCACAATGCTGCGATTTGTGTGCAATTTCAGTGCGATTTCCAAAGACTTTTTTGCTACTTGTAAATATTTTCAATGATTTAATGCAATTTGCAGTGCGATTTCCATTATATTCTACAGTTGTGCTCAAAAGTTTGCATACCCCAGCAGAAATTGAGAAATTTTGGCATTGATATTGAAAATATGACTGATCATATCAAAAAATGCTCTTTTATTGAAGGATGATTATCATATGAAGCCATTTATTATCAAATAGTTGTTTGGCTCCTTTTTAAATCATAATGATAACAAAAAATCACCCAAGTGGCCCTGATCAAAAGTTTACATACCCCAGCAGAAATTGTGAAATGTTGGCATTAATATTGAAAATATGACTGAGCATGCCACACAATGCTCTTTTATTGAAGAATGATGATCATATGAAGCCATTTATTATCAAATAGTTGTTTGGCTCCGTTTTAAATCATAATGATAACAAAAAATCACCCAAATGGCCCTGATCAAAAGTTTACATACCCTGGAATGTTGGGCCTTGGTACAGACACACAAGGTGACACACACGGGTTAAAATGCCAATTAGAGGTTAATGTCCCACATCTGTGGCTTTTTAAATTGCAATTAGTGTCAGTGTATAAAGAGTCAATGAGTTTGTTAGCTCTTACGTGGAAGCACTGACTGACTATGGCTTCATATGATCATCATCCTTCAATAAAAGAGCATTTTTTTGCATGATCAGTCATATTTTCAATATCAATGCCACAATTTCACAATTTCTGCCAGGGTATGCAAACTTTTGAGCACAACTGTATGTATTTGAAGACACAACAAAACTTCAGAAAAAGTAATGCAAGACCTACTTTAGAAATTACGCTTCAGAAAATCTCATATGTTAAGACACTGACATTCACATTCATTAAATGCAATTTCAGGTGCGATTTCAATTCACAGATCTCACCGGTGTGATCAGGCACTAAGGATGATGAGTCACGACAAGAACCTTATTATCTATAGCTGACTTCATTTGTCAATCAGATGGTACCCTTATCTATGATCTACAGTCTATTGCGAAGGTCTTTAGGGACTACTGTATTACAAAAAAAATTATACAACTGTCTTTCCCCTGACACTCCCCCTCCTTTTCATTCAGCTAAGTTCATTGAATTTATACTTCTTAGACTTCCAAAATTCCCTTCCAGTGACTTAATATCTCTTAGGCTACGTTCACACTAGCGTTGTGTGCAGGCGTGAGAGGCGTTTGGGAAGCGTTTTTACCGCTTCCCAAACGCCTCGGACAATTCTGCACATTGCAGCACATAGTGCTGTTCTAATGGGAGCGTCGCAGCAAAACGGACACCTCTGGTCGAGTCAGAAGGCGTTGAAGTCTCCTATTCTAGTCTATGGTGCCGCTCCGCAAATGCCCGGCCGGCATTTGCGGTGCGGTTGCGACACAGTTGCGGGGTGTTTGCGGAGCGGTAACACCATTCAAACTTCATTATAAGCGTTTGTGGGGTGTTTTTAATGCTCGGCAAATGCCTAGCAACCGCCGCTGAACCACA